TTTATGTCGAATGGAACTAAATAATAGATACTAACATTACCAGGTGTTCAATATGATAGAAAGAACATAACCTGTGCCTTAAAATCAAGCAGAAGATATAAGAGGACTGCTTAGACTGTCTCTGTTTGCAGAATACTGAATTGGTAACAGAGCTGGATCCTGGTAGGCAGTGGCCAGGGTATCATAAAACTCTGCCATTTTGACATCATTATGATCTTCCTTGTCTCTCTTTACCAAAACCTGAAAACATGACAACCCAAGTAAAGATAAAGGTAGAATATTTTAAGGGCAGCAGCAGATTTTCCTTTTCTCCTTTTATCTTCTGCCAACAAGTGGAGAAAAGACTGCATTCTGGAGAGAATCGAGGTGTGATAATATTATGACACCAAACATACCTCAGCAGGATAAGCAGTAAATATGGGTAGGAATCTTTTTCTGCAGTACTCATTAAAGAGAAGAGTGAGGATGGGAAGAGGAAAAACTAAGGTTGATGCCATAGACAGCTTCTTCAATGTAAAAATACCCACTGCAATTGCATGCATAAGTACCAGAGAGAATATCGTCGAATTGTGCACAATAGGCCAAAATTTCCCAGCTGTTTCATACTTGGGTGCATAAACATGTATGAACTGCATGATAAATGAACCGAGCATCAGTACAGCCATATGATAATTATGGGAAGAAGAAAATGAAACATTGGTCTTTTCGGTGTCTTGATAAATAGAAACGAAAATAGACCACTAAACATTGCAATAAAAATGATGGATGGGTTTCCCAACTTATTTGTTGTGTATCTTTTTGTACACATTTCAAATGTTCGGCTATGGCAGCTGTTTCGTACCAACTTTGAAGCTATCCTCACTTTTTCTCAATTAATAAATGAATATGCAATGGAGAAAAAACTGCCAAGAATTTCTATTAATAAATCAATGGCATTCTCATATATCCTAATGGTATTAGAAATACAAATCTTTCATGGTACTATTGCTTTTTCATCAAAGACTAATACAAAGCTACATCCACTATTCTCCACTTGTGCCTTCCAGATTGCTTTAGACAGGCAAATATACATTTAAAAGCATTTTCCTTCATTATCCACTACAAACTTAGCCTGACATAACATTTCTCAGTGGCTGAAGTATGAATGGAATGTGCGCATTGAAAGACCATCAACTGGCCAAATTTTGACAAATGGCTTGACAAGCAACAAAAAATATTGTAGCAATCTCCAGCAATCACCACCTATGACTCAAAACAAATTTCTTTTTAAATAAAAAGTATACAAAATATTTTAGTATGGCACCAAAAGGTACTACCCATTTATAAGATATTTACAAATCTATTAATATATTTATGACATTCCCAA